GCCCCGCGCCGGGCCAAAGTGGCGCTGCCGCCCGGGTCCGCGCCCGCGGCCCTCTCCTTCTCCCCCCTCCCCATGAGTGTTTCCCCCCCCGCGTGGGTTGTTCCCGCTGTCCCAAGCAGCACCTATCTCCCTGCCTGCGTGTTTTGCGCGGCGCGGCGGCTTAGGGCTGATCTGCCTGCCAAATAAAGCCGCGTGGCTATTTATGGACGTGGCTTAAAGAAGAGCAGACCGCATGGACCATGTTAGAAGTTTTTTTGAAAAACAGCCAAAGTACAGAGGTCAAGTTTCCTGTACTAAAAGCAACTTAATAGGACACAAGACTGCAGCGGGGTTCGCAAGTATCTGGCAGTAGCCGGAAAAGTAGGTCATTGTGCATTTTTCGCTAATCGCTCGGTTGAGATAATAAATTATTTTAACATATTTATAAACACTATAGAGGCTAGAGAGACTCAACTGGAAGGCCTATTACTGCTTGAGCTGAAGCCAGTGGGTCTGTTGCCAGGGCGTTCACTTCAGGAAGATGAGGGTCAGGCCCCCAATATTGCTTGGTAGATGGTATTATGAACAGGAAAATATATAGTTGTGGTATCCACTGGGATCTGACTCTTCATTAGAAATTAAGTGACAGTGTAGGCAATATGATTGTTTTGCAAATTTCCCTAGGGTATGCTTTTAAGAAATCATAAAAATCCTTGACAATGCCTTGCTCAAAGCCAGTGCTTTCGGTAGCTGCTGTTGTTCAGGGGCAGTGGCTCTTAGGAGTTTTACAAGGAGTTGTACGCAAATAGACTCTACCGGCATGCCCGTGAAACTGCCTATTCTTGGAAAAGCTTATATGCAAGGATTTAATGCTGACAGACTTAAGTAGTGATGTCTCAACTATGAAAAATCTGTTGTTTAACCAACTTTACGAAGCAAAAGTGCTTATCGTTAAAGGAATAATACTCCCTTTTGTTTTAGGAGATCATGGAGGATTTAAACATTTATGCAATTTGGTATGCACATGGTTTGATAGTCTGTTTTATAGGAAGTTGATTAAAATCAGAAAAACCACCCTCCCAAACTGTAGCAGAAGAGGGCAATGCAACGTTCGCAGATCAAACAGCCTTAAAGTGGGTATAGGATTTACATAGTGGTGAGCTGGGCAATGGCTCTCAAAACTACAGCTGTGTTCTTCTAAACATTCTTTTAAGTTATTGGTGAGCTGATAAATTATGTTTCACTGCCATCTGATGTTAAATTTATTATTGCAAAACATGAGCAAACACTGGCTGAAATAAGTTGTTTTTTAAATTCCTGGGTGCTGAAGGTGGTCTAAGAACGGGCTACTACCAGCTGCAGAGATGGTTTTGTCATCAGGTGTCCCCGGAAGTGTACACTTCCTTATTTCTGGTTTTGTTAATATTTTAACACATTTTATTATTTTTACATTCATAAAACAAAGTGGCTACTTTATGTCTGTGTAAGAAAAAGAAGCAAAGTACCACTTTTATCACCAGCTGGGACAATTTTAGCAATAGTAATCAGTTTAATTTCCCAGCTTGATTCAAAACACTGCTATTTACACTCCCATTGTGTGGCGATGTCCTCCCCTGTTTACATGCCCAGGTTTAAAATTTAACTACATCTACCATGCTGTTTTTCTTCCTAATAAATGCAGAACAGAAGCCGGAAAAAAGTAAGCAAAAAGAAAGCACAGTGCTGTCAGTCTTGTGTTAAACTTCGGAAGTGTGGCTAAGTGGGATTACATGTATTATTAGGGTCCTGATCCTGCAGTCCTTACTGAAGTAATAACTTAAATGGGAGCTTTGCCAAAGGCTGAGAGGGGAAGAGAAGACTGCAACAGTTGGCACTGAAAGAACAAGGTGTCAATTGCCTTATAATAATGCAATTTTTTCTCCCACATATTTAGAGAATGTCTGTATGAATTTGTCTCAGTGGCTTCCGTTGGTGGTAATTTCTGGGAGAACGAGCTTAGAGATGTCCCATAACAGAGTATTTTAGGGATATATGTTAGTTATTGCTTTCTACATCACTAGAAATGTAGTTGATTTTGATGTGATGCAGATCTGGACTGATGCAGCAATCTCCTGTGTAAACCATGCGAAAGAAGAGATACAGGACAAAACCCACCACCCTCCTTCCCCAAGTTACAAATACTTATTTCTTAAACACAGCTGATCTTTTACATAGGTCTTCCAGGTGAGATAGTAAATATACAAAAGAACAAAGTCTACTATATAAGTGAAAGAGGATTTATAAAATTACAAGTTTAATAGATAAATATAATAAATACTTTATGCATCATAACTCTGGACAACTACATTTAAAGCAAGTATGTTGGCAAGTCACAGAAAAAGTTGCATCTTGGCAACTTTATTTTTCATAAAACCACACTGACAGGCATATTACAATGTTACGTATGAGGCTTTATGCTGTAAGTATGTTTAAATCCTGCTCACCTACCGAGTTCACCATGACATATATATGGGTGCAGTGTACTTTCTATTTTGGAATGTCTTTTTGAACACCAACAACAGTTGTACAGATAGATGTTCTACTTACCAGGGACAGCGGGGAGAGTTTTGAAGAAAAATACTGGTAAATGACTTCTAGAAAAACTAAAGCATTTCTTAACTTTTTATTGACATTGGCAAATTAAAATAGAATAAATTAACAATATTTTCTCAAAAAAATGTTTTGTACAAAAATACTGTCAAAATTTCCTGAAAAGCTTTCAACACAGTAGTATCTTTTCATGTACTGAATAAACTATATTAGCACAGTGTCAAAATGCTGAAGACAGAAACAAAATAATTATAATTAAAAAAAACCAACTGTGAAATGTTTGCCACTAGTCAACATTCCATCCACACCATATTATTGTCTGTACATATGGGGGAGGGGGACTGGGTAGCAGACTTTAAGTAACAGTATTACTTTTCCTGATTCGGAAAGGTTTGGCCCACATCTGTTAAGCTTCCAGTTTAGCATATTCAAAAAAAAAAATATATATATTTATTAGTCTGCACTGCAATGCATAGTTAAAAAATGAAGCAAGATGGCAGCATTTGTGCAGTAGTATCTGCCCTTCAAAGTTCATGCAACCAACTAATGCAATTTTTTCCCCTGTTCACTCAGAATTTGAATGCAGTTCAAGTCATTGGAAATCATCGTTTACAAAATCCACAAGATTAAGCAATTTGCCAAGATTAATATCTAACAGTTCAGCACTGTGGAAATCATGGGCATGTTACTGCAAGGAAATTAAGAGAGAGAAGGGCAGGGGGAGGACAACATAAAAAGGCAGAGTTAGCTAGAAATTATTCCTACAGGAGGGGAGGTGAGTGTCAAAGCTACCCCAAAAAAAAAAAAAAAAATGGCAGACATTAACAAAAAAAAATTTATACAAGCGCATAGTTTACTCTGCTTTCCAGATTCTCACCTTTTCAAGCCCTGAAAAGTGAGACACTGTGTCTAAGGGAATGTTTTCATTCACACCGATAGAAAGTCCTTTGTTTGTTTTCAATGAATCAGCAGCTCACCCTGCTGGGCTGCTGTTTGCAAACGAAGTCTGTCATGAAGTCAAACTCGTTCTGTCCCAACCACAGCTCGGGCAGCTCCTTGATGCGATCCAGGCCCATTTCGATGACTAAGGACATGAGGACCTCCTCGTCGATGAAGTCAGTGTCTATGACATTGGGGGGCAGCATTGCCGCGGGGCCGTGGGGGCCGGCGGGCGGCCCGCCG